TTTTTTTCTTATGAGTAATACATGAAAGAAAGTTGTCAACAAAGAAGATGGCAATAAAATATGGACACTTGGACTGGGAGAAAGGAAAAAGCATATAAGCTCTTTCCCATTAATAATTGTTAGTTTTTTCAGTTGTTGTTAGGTGCCATTAAATTGGTTCTAACTTACAGAGACACCTGTACACCTATGCACCACCTGGACTCCTGGTGTGGCATTGTAGGATCAACAGTGGACTGCGAACCACGATGTCAACAGTTCAAACCCACCAGTTGCTCCTTGGAAACTCTAGACAGGGTTGCTAGGAGTCAGAACCAACTCAACAACACTTACCAACAACAACATGCACCACTTGGTTAATTTACAGGAATATGTGTGTCTGTCTTATGTGAAAAAACATGTATACATATATATATGGAGTCCTGTAGGATACAGCACTGGACCACAAGGATGACTTGAACCAGAAGACTGACTGTGCAAACATACCAGCCACTCCTCACAAACCCATACAGGGCTGCTATGAGTCAGAACTGACTTAATGACAGCTAACAACAAATGTATACATTTGTGTATGTTTAAAGGAGCTCTGGTAGCGTAGTGGTTACGAATCGGGCTGCGAACCTTAAGGTCAGCGGTTCGAAACTACCAGCCGCTCCGCGGGAGAAAGATGAGGCTTTCTACTCCCGTAAGGATTTACACCCTCGGAAACCCTGTACAGGGTCGCTATGGGTCGGAACCGACTCGACGGCACTTAACAACAACAACAACATATATATATACACACACACACACACATAAATGGATGTGTATATATCACATATCTTTATCAAAAGTCAATAATCAGGAAATTTTGAATACGTTAAAGATATTTATAATTTGGAAACAATGTATGGAAACATGTTGCCATATTCATTGGTGATATTTTAGTCTTGAATGAGTGTACATGATGTTTGAGTTTCTTTTCATAGTCTATGAACTTGAAGCAGCTCTGCCTAGGGTGACATTTGGTGACCTGCCAATGAGCAGCAGATCATAGAAGATGGTATGTCAGATTTTTATCACCAGAATGGAAGATGAAGGCACATGTACTCATGGCTTTTCCCTCCAAGTCATGTTGTCTTTGGAAGGCTTTTTCAGATGCGCCATCTGTCTCTCAGGTATAGGGCAACAGACCACACATGGCCTCTTTTCCATGATTCCCTTTTCCTTTACCAAGACCCTATATAAACTGAATATTTTTTGTTCTATTAAAATCAGGACTTTTGATACATATTATTAATCCATAGTTATAGATATAGAATTAAAGTGGGTTTTTGTTTATTTGCTCTTTTTGTTTTCTTTGGTGTAGGGTATTGTTTGAGTCCAATGAATTTCTAGATATTTTGCCTATTTATATATTTATATTGCATTAACATTAAAAAAAAAACTTCTATACACCTTTTTTTTAACTATCAGATTTTTTTCAATTAATATATGCTTACATTTAGATTAAGAATAAAAATATCTGTATTCAACTTAACTACACAACTTCCTCATTTAATCAGTAGTTGTTATAGTTGATGATTTTGTTTTTGTTGTTGTTAGGTGCCATTGAGTCATTGCCGATCCATAACAACCCTATGCACAACAGAACGGAACACTGCATGGTCCCATGCCAACCTTACAATTGGTACTACGCCTCAGCTCATTGCTGCTGCCACTGTGCTAATCCAGCTCATTGAGAGTCTTCCTCTTATTCTCTGAACCTCCACTTAACTAAACTTTATACTGTTCTCCAGGGACTAGTCATTCCTGAGTGCATTTCTGAAGTATTAGAGACCTTTCTGGTACTCCTGGCTTCCAAGTAGCATTCTGACTATACTTCTTCCAACACAAACCTATTTGTTCTTTTGGCAATCCATGCTACTTTCAATATTCTCCTCCAACACCATAACTCAAATGTATCAATTCTTCCGCGGTCTTCCTTATTCACTGCCCAGTTTTCGGAAGCATATGAGGTTATTGAAAATACCATGGTTTGGGTCAGGTGCACCTTAGTCCTCAAACTGACATCTTTGCTCTCCAGCACTTTGAAGAGGACTTGTGAGGCAGATATGCCCAATGCATATCTCATTTGATTTCTTGACTGCTGCTTCCTTGAGCATTTGTTGTTGATCTGAGAAAAATGAAGACTTTGGAAATTTTAATATTATCTCCATTTATATGGATGTGGTTTATTGGTCCAGTGGTGAGAATTTTATTTTGCTTCACTGAGGTGCAAGTTATACCAAATACTGTGGTCTTTAATCTTCATCAGTAAGTATATTAAGTCTTCTTCACTTTTATAGAAAGCAAAGTTTTATCATCTGCATACCACAGATTATTAGTGGGTCTTCCTCCAATCCTGATGCCACATTCTTCTGCATATAATCGAACTAATTTGATTATTTGCTCAGCATACAAATTGAATAAATATGGTGAAAGAATTCAACCCTGGTGCATACCTTTCATAATTTAAAAACAGTGTTCCCATGTTCTGTTCTGAAAACTGCCTCTTGGTCTATGTACAGGTTCCTCATGAGCACAATTAAGTGTTCCAGAATACTCATTCTCTGCAGTGTTGTCCATAGCTTGTCATGATCCACACAATTGACAGCCTTTGTGTAGTCAATAAAGGACAAGTAAACATATTTCTAGTATTCTCTGCTTTCAGCTAAGATCTATCTGACGTCAACAATGATATCCCTCGTTCCACATTCTCTTCTGAATCTGACTTGGCCTTCTGGAAATTCTCTGTCAATGTGTGGTTGCAGCCACTTTTGTATTATCTTTAGTAAACCTTAACTTACGTGGTATATCAATGATATTGTCCAGTGAATTCTGCATTCCATTGTGTCACCTCTCTTTGGAATGGGGAAAAATATGGATCTCGTCTAGTCAGTTGGCCAGGTAGTTGTCTTCCAAATTTCTTGAGTGAGTGTCTCCAGTACCACATCAGTTTGTTTAAAGATTCAATTTGTATTCCATCTATTCCTGGTGCCTTGTTTGTAGCTAGTGCCTTCACTGCACCTTGAACTTCTTCCCTCAGGAATATCTATCATTTCTTTTTTGGGTGATTCCATGTATTCCTCCACCTTCTTTTGATGCTTTCTGCATCATTCAATATTTTGCCCATAGAATCCTTAATACTTCAGGTTGAGGTTTGAATTTTTTCTTCAGTTCCCCCAGCTTGAGAAATGCTGAGCGGTTCTTCCCTTTTGGTTTTCTAACTCCAGGACTTTGCACATATTTTTATAATATTTGAGTTTGTCTTCTTGAGCTGACCTTTGAAATTTTCTGTTCAGCTCTCTCACCTCCTCACTTCTATTTCACATCTCTATGCTGGTGAGCAAGTTTCACAGTCTCTTCTGACATCCATTTTGGTCTTTTCCTTCTTTCATGTCTTCTTATTGACCTTTTGCTTTCTTCCTGTACAATCTTCTTGATGTCATCCCACAACTCTTCTAATCTTTAGTCTTTGGTGTCTAATTCATCAAATCTATTTTCAGATGATCTCTAAACTCAGGTGAAATGTATTCAAGGTCATATTTTGGCTCTCATGAACTTGTTTTCATTATCTTCAGTTTCAGCCTGAACTTGTGTATGAGGAATTGATGGTCTGTTCTATAGTCTGCCCTGGCCTTGTTTTATCTGGTGATATGGAACTTTTTTTGCCATGTCTTTCCACAGATGTAGTCAATTTGATTTCTGTGTATTCCATCTATATTAGGAATTGGCAAACTGTAGCCACTACCTTTTTTGTAAATAAAATTTTATTGGAACATAGGCATGCTCATTTGTTTATGTATGTATATGTGGTTTGTGCTGTAATAGCAGAATCAAGTAGTTATTTATGGTAGAGATCATCTGGGCTGTAAAACCTGAAATATGTATTTACTGGTCCTTTACATAAAAGACTTGTCAACACCTGGTCTATATATAATAGTTTGGTGCCTGTAGTAGTTTCCTAATATAGGCACCTAATACAGGGCTGTTAGAACCAAAACACACACACAAATTATATAGCTTATAAGAAGATAAATTTATTGTATCACAGTTCTGGAGGCTACTAGTCTGTATCTAGCTTGTTGACAGAGCCAGGCTTTCTCCAAAGGCTCTAAGGGAAAGTCACTCCTTGTCTCTCCTTTCTTCTAGTAGTTCATGTATTACTTGGCTTGTAGCTGCAGCATAACGCTGTTGTCCCAAGTTCTATTGTCTGTCCATATCTGGTATTCTTTTATAAGGGCATCACTTAAATTGGATCAGGGTCACCCTACTACAGTATGGAGTCCTGGTCTGGTGCTGTGGGTTAATGCGCTGGACTGCAAAGTCAATTTTAACCACAAGGTCACAGTTCAAGCTCACCAACCAGTCCTTGTAAACCCTATACAGGGTCACTATGGGTTGGAATCAACTCAATGGCACTTAACAACAACAGCTAGTACAATATAACATCATGTTATTTTAACTGATAACATCTTCCAATGACCCCATTGCTGTAGGATAAGTGCTGGATTGCTAACCACAAGGTTGCTGTTTCAAGCCCACTAGCTGCTTCTCAGAAACCCTATACAGGGCTGCTATGAGTCAGAAGCAAATCGACAGCACTTAACAACAATAACAACCAGAGATTAAGACTTCAGTATATCTTTTGGAAGGACTCAGTTCAATCCAGAATAGTGCCCTTGACTCCTAATGTAGAAAACCAATATTGTGAGTTTTAAAATTTTTTCCATGATGCTTTATGGTCTACACATAGCAAGTGTGTCACTTACATTTTTCAAGGAATAATTATAAGAGATTCACCTGAAAATTCATAATAATTTTGCATCAAGCAGAAACTATATGTGAAAATCATATGATATATATATATATATATAGTCTTGTGACGTTTTGAAGAGTTCCTCTTTCTGGGTGGTTAAAATTACAAATTAGATTGAATTAATTAACATGTGGCTTTTACTGCACTAACAACGTCTCTTTAGTTGTCTCTGAGACAGAGGTTTTACTGAAAGAACTGGAGCAAATGCTACAGCAAGCACAAGAGCCCACAACAACACCTGCTGAGTCTGAAGATGTTGGAGAGGAAACAAATTCGGGAGAAAAGGTATTACTGATACTTTTTATTAGGTCTGAATAGCATTTTAAAACTCTTTAAATGGCATGTTTGTTGTTAAGTGCTGTCTAGTCGGTTCTGACTCACAGTGACCCTGTATCGGCTTTCTGAGGAACAGCTGGTTAGCTTGAACCACTGAATTTGTGGTTCAACGCAACTTTGCAGTTTAGCACATGAAACCACAGCGCACACCAGAACTCCATAAGTGGCATAATACTTTTTAATTACATGGAAAACATTTCCCACTTGCGAAATTTGAGCCTTTGATTATCATGAGGTAATTCTGTTGAGAAACCAGAATCGATCTAGGTAAAAACTATCTTTTGGATTAAAATGAAGGCTGCAGGGGGCTCACTGAACTGAGGGTGCAGCTGTAGAAAGACCTCTCCCTTGCTGCAAATCTTTACAGTCAGGAAAAGAATTTAGGATAAAAGCAGCTGGTAGGACAATCTGCCCTGCTGAGTTTTTGGCGCCACCTACAGGAGTCCTCAGGAGCTCTGGTAGCATAGTGGTTACGAATCGGGCTGTGATCCTTAAGGTCAGTAGTTCAAAACTACCAGCTGTTCCATGGGAGAAAGATGAGGCTTTCTGCTCCCGTAAAGATTTACAGCCTCAGAAACCCTGTACAGGGTCGCTATGAGTCGGAACCGACTCCATGGCACATAACAACAACAACAAACAGGAGTCCTGGGTAGCACAAACAGCTAAGCGCCTAAGCAAATTGCTAATTAAGCTCAGAGAAAGGTGGGCAGATATACGAAAGGTCCAGCCTTGCGGATCTTATGGATCAGTTCTAGTTTGCACACTGGGACCACCATGAATTGAAATTGAATAGACAGAAGCTAACAACAACAGCATAGATTTTACCCACCGCATGGGTTCATGCACCAGGATAATCTCTTGCCACAAAGCCCCATAGTACCATGTTGTTGTAAAGTGCGATTGAGTTGGTTCCTACTGATAGCAAATCTGTATAGGGTTTCCGAGGAGCACCTGATGAGTTTGAACCGCTGACCTTGCGGTTTAAGCCGACCTTGCTGCCGAGTGCTCATCCTACAGCACCACCCAGGACTCCAGTGGAGGTAATTTTTTTAGTTGGAATAGTTTCACCATTTCAGCATTCATATTCAGATTTGCCATTAAAATGTTTTTGTCTTTTTCTTTTTGGACAATTTTGGGTTCAGAAAGGCCATATGTGCTTTACTTTATTCCATGCTTATGTTGTTGTTGTTGTTATGTGCCATCGAGTCGTTTCCGACCCATAGCGACCCTGTATAGGGTTTCCGAGGGTGTAAATCTTTACAGGAGTAGAAAGCCTCATCTTTCTCCCGCAGTGCAGCTGGTAGTTTCAAACCACTGACCTTAAGGTTCGCAGCCCGATTCGTAACCACTACGCTACCAGAGCTCCTTATTCTAGGCTTATATGATAACTTTAAGTTTTAAAAGCAATACTGCTTGGTACATTAGCTCCATGTCAGTAAATAAAATGAGTGTTTGTGAAGCAAGTCCCAGGGAGGTAGCCATTAATGTAGGGCATCAATGAGGTTTATTTACTAACAATAAGTCAGAAAAGACACTGTCATGAAGTGGTACAGTACTCCTAAATGAATAAAATAAAACACAATGGGGATTTTTTGTGTATCTTTATGGTTTCTCCTACCCCACCCTCCCGCCTTTCCTTCCTTCCCTCACTCAGTCTTCCTTCCTTCATTTAGAGCAAGTGTGCCGGGCGGAAGGCAGCAGATACCGTGGTTAGGAAGGATCCTAAGTTCTGATTTCAGTACTCTTCTTGCTTTTTGTGGTGGTTGTTAAGTGCTGTTGAGCCAATTCCGACTCATGGCAACTTTATTATAGGGCTTGCATGGAGTGACCGGTGGGTTTGAACCGCCAACCTTGTTGTTAGCAGTCCAGTGCTTATCTTACAGCTCCATACCAGGACTGCTACTTAGGGCCTTTCTAATTTGGCGTATTTGCTTGTCACCTGCTTCAGAAGGCTATTCTGAGATTAAAGAAGGCAAAACAGGAAAAGTGCCTCACACAGTAACTGATCATAAGTGTCCTGGTATGGCATTATGTATGAGTCAGAACTGACTTGAGGGCACTTAATAACAACAACAAAGGTTAGTTACAATTATATATGAGAGTTCTCTATGGAAGTTGATAGAGGAGAGTAAGTGCTAACATTGTCTTACTTCAGTCTCTCTTTTTTCACATTCTCACATTGAAACCACCCATTTTCAAGTCTTTCTGTTTTAAATGCAGGGTAAAATGAATTTGTAATTGAACTAGGTTGACACATTTTAACAGATGCCCAGTTGCATGATTTTGTTCAAAACTTCAACAAAAGTGAAGTTGAATCTTAGACACTTCCTGTATTGAGCTAGAAATTAAGAAAATATACAGAATTTGTTGAGCTACATATGTAGAAGTCAAATAAAATTAATGTTAGAGGCTTATTGAGTTGAAAGACACAATATCTTTCATTATCAGCACTGGCAACATTTTAAATATGAGTTGTCAATGGTTTTAAATGCCATTTTTTCAATTAGAGTTTCCTCTTTCAAAAGATTTGTTTTCTATGTATGGGCTTTACCTTTCGTAGAAAATGATCTATAGGTTGGTGATATTCATCTTATATACATATGATTAATGCAGAAATTATTCTTTCTAGCAAATGTGTGTTTTGTGTGAATATCATGTGGTTTTGTGAAATGTTTTTTTCCATAATTGTCATTTGTCTTTTCAAAAATACAGCCACGGTGATTTTTTATAGTGATGTCCTGGAGATTTTACAGCCATAGATTTGCCATTATAACTAGTACGTTGATAGAACAGAAAATTACTCACTTCTAATTTTTACTTCTTAAGGTGAAATACATAGTTTTAATAGCAGGAGCTTGCTTTTGGTTTTAGGTTCTTGCATTATTTTATGCTTTCAAAAGGCATTAAAGAAGTGTAGGAATTAGCCATTTTCACTTGCTGCCAGGCAGGTGAGTGTTTCCTGCTGACGAGTTCATATGCTGCTCTGCACATTGGGCATTGGTGCCAGGGTCAGGATACTTAGGGCCTTGCTCACTTTTTAAATGAAAAGAATAGCAATGAAGCAAATGATACCATAATCAGAGTCGGAGTTACTTCTAGTTTGAAAGTTAAAAAGTGATTATGTCAGGAATTTTCCTTTTTTTTAGAATGAGTTAAAAGAATTAATAGGGGCTCCAAAGGTAAAATGCTTTAAACTGGAGATGTGTTCTGTGTTTAGGAAAAAGTGGCCTTCTATAAGCCATAAAGAGCCACCTAGTAATTTTAAAGTCCTGAGCATGCTTATGCCCTGAGCAATTATTGTTTGACTATTTTCAAAGTTGTAAATTTGATGTTTTCATCGTTCATTTCACCTATGAGGTTTCAATGTGATTCCTCTCCAGCATGTACACCAATGGATGAGAGCAGCAACATGGAAAAAAATTATACACACATGGATAATCAAAACGCATTGCTATTTGTCATTGAAATGGTTTATGAGATTATTTTCCTCGGTAGAGTCACCTTCCTAATTATGTTCTTCTTTAGCTAATATTAACACTGGTTGACATGCCCTGACTTTGCAAGCCATTGAAGGAAATTAATTTTGATTTTTATAAATCCACCAGAATAATTCCCAAATTGCGTAATCCATACACAAATAAGCATTTACTCAGTAATATTTACATACATAAAATGTACGTCTTTGATATATAAAATACTTATATAAATTGCATGTATGTATTTTTTTCTTGAATTACATAGGAAGTGAACCCTGCCTTTAGTGAACTTTGAAATGATCAATCTCATGTATATGTGCATACTGTTTTACACCAGTGTCCTTCCACATTAAATTAGAGCAGACATTGTTGTGAAGTGCCATTGAGTCAGTTCCGAGACATAGCAACCCTGTATAGGGTTTCCAAGGAGCAGCTAGTGGATTTGAACTGCCAACCTTGCAGTTAGCAATCCAGTGCTTATCCTACAGTACCACACCAGGACTATCACTATTCAGGACTATCAGTGTTTATAAGTAATGCAAATGTTTATGAGAAAGTGACCACAGAAAATGTGACTAAGCAGTTCTAACTTGTAATCCCTGTAATAATAATTCAAAGCATATACCAAGATGGAAAACGGACACAGAATTAAACTGATCTTATTTTGTCAAAGAATTCCATTGAAAGCAAAATTTGTAATGCTGGGAATAGAGATAGAATCCAAATAATAAGTTATTCTTTTACAGCTACATTTTCTATACTGGTATGACACTGTGGAATAAAGCACTGGGTTGCAAGGTCGGTGGTTCAAACTCATCAGCTGCTCCTTGGAAACCCTATACAGGGTCGGAACCAACTTGATGGCACTTAACAACAACAATGTATCACATATGGGGATCATTTTTTTTTACTACAAACAGAGCAAAAAGCTTTGCATAATGACTGTAGTTTGAGGAGTTATGATTTTGTTCACACAATGAAACCTGGTTTTTAAGTAAATTTGATGCATTGCTGATGAATTATATGGTTGTTTTTACAGCTATCTAAATGCAGCCCTGAAGCTCCTGCGAGCAGTCTACTTGACAACTGCTATGAAGAGGACTATCTTGTAATTGATGGAATAAAATTAAAAGCTGGAGAATGTATTGAGACTATAACTAACAAGTTTAAAGAAATTGATGCTTTGATGTCTGAATTTTAGGGCATTATTTAAAATTTCAAAGTTAGTTACAAAAACATTTACGTCTTTATATTTTCCTGAAGTTTTAAACCTTAAAATGTTTAGCAAACACTATGCACTGTGCCAAAGTCGGTATGTGTAATAACTTTATATTTTGTGAATGTTCATAATTTTAATGGCCAATCCAATAGTATTTCAGTTAGGATTAGGAATTTAGAATTTAAAAAATCTTGGTATATATTTGCAATTATAGATTAATTTCCATGTTTGACGTAATTTAAAAGCTTTATGAAATTTGCATACAAGCACACACTTTACAATGATTACTTAGGACCTTTATTCTATTATTGCTAACTGTTAAGATGGCTGCCAAAATGATTTTAATTCTTAGAGATAATTAAGATCGAATATACTTAGAAAGAATGTGTATTTGTAGTGGAATCAAACTACTACAAAATAAAAGGAAATAATAGAAAAATGGTTGTATGGTGGAGTTGGAGCTTTCTTGGAAAACAAGAAATAAATTGCCTTATTACAACAAAATCCATGATTTTAACCATAGCTCCCTAAACTAAGTAATAGTATCTACAGAAGACTTTGGAAGAGCAAAATCCATGACTCTTTCCCATTCAATCAGTATGTCTGGGGATAAAGATGGGAAACTATCATTTAAAAATACAGATAGGACTACTTTTTTCCATAATAAATCCAAACAAGATAGTTAAGTGAAAAGTGCATCATGCAATATCACCCTCAGAAACCCTGTACAGGGACACTATGAGTCAGAACTGACACCATGGATAATAACCACCACTACCACCAACCTCCCCCCTAAAATCCCATGCTTTAGGGGCTGCCGTGAACAATATCAGTGGGTGTTCTTAAGATCTTATTCAGTGAACACCAAAAATATTTTCCCCTCTTCCTGTTCCTCCTTCCCTATTTCCTCTCCCCCCACTCAACCTCTCCAGGCATGTCGTGGGAATAGGACATTACAAGCATATGAAGATAGAAACCAAAGCTTGAGAAGTGGAAAAAAGGCAAGAGATGGTCTTGAGACCTGCTATTTGAGGAATTTGCTGAAATACTGAGTAATGATGAAAACATAAGCCACAGCAGATTGAGAGGGCCATGTACAGAGGCTAAGGAGCTTATGATGTACTCTGAAATCTTGGTTGTTGTTGAGTGTCATTGAGTCAGTTCAGAATCATAACCACCCTGTATAGAGTTTCTGAGAAATGGCTGGTGGGATTGAACTGCCAACCTTGTTAGCAGCCCAGCGCTTATCCTACAGCACTACACCAGGACTCCAAGAGGCTGCTAACGAGTTTTCAACAGTGGAATCTCTTTTACAGTTCACAAAGATCATACTGACAGCAGTGTGGAGAATGGAGTGAGAGGAAGTAGCTCTGAGGCAGGGTAACCAGGTAGGAGATTGTTTCCGGAATGTAGCTGAAACATTATAAATTCTGGTAATGCTGTGGTGGAGAGAAGTAGCTAGATCCAAGCTATATTAACATCAATGGATTGTTAGAATATGGAGATGGAATGTAGTAGTAAGATGGAATGCAGGAGTAAGAAGCAAGGACAATATCAGGTTTCTGGTGTTCACAATGCTATTCACTGAGATAAGAATACACGATGAATTGAAACTTGAGACAAAAATCAAGCTTTGCTAAGTTGTGAGTTTAACAGAATTCTTAAGTTTTTCATGCTTCGACAAAGCTTGAGTTTCAGTAACACTCTGAGAACCAGAGTGGCAAAGACTCTCAACACACCGTATTTGAATTCCAAGTCATACAAAACATGAAAGGTTAAAGCCTCCTCTTTTTCTCACAGCTGAGTTTACTTAGCACATTATTTTCCTGAACTGGATGCATGGCCTCCAGTTACAGTATCTCAGAACTCCACGGCCTTTTTCTCTCTTTCCAATATGATTTTATATTCACAAGATGTCTCAAGAGATCATTTATCCCATTTCTTGTTACTGCTTAGAATCAACTATATATATATTTAAAATGACTAACTATAACTGTACTTGGAAGACTTTATCTATAATTCAACCCCCTACCCCAGCTCCATTCTAGTAAATCAGCTAGATCATTCAAAGTTAATTCTTGGTGGAATAGCCAGTTCTCATCAAAGTCAAGTTCAAAGTGAAACTCTTACACTAGATACTTAAATTTCCAGGTCTGAATCATCTCTGCATTGATCTGAGTTGTATAAGTCTAAGATTTTCACTGAAATAATTTCTGTACTCGAACAGCTCAGAATTATTCTGTGAACCAACATTTGGGTTAGCTCTGTCTGCAGCAGAAATGCCAGGCTACTTCCAGCTAAAGACTGTGGGGGCCCTCTTATCCATGTGAGAATATAGGCTTTTGAGATATAGGATGTGCCCAGGAGAAGAGAGGAAGAAGCAGTTGACTGTGCTCAGGTCTGAGAATCATGCCTGCCTGGAAAATCCTCCATAAATCTCTTATATGTTGTTGTTATTAGGTGCCATCTAGTTGATTCCGACTCGTAGTGATCTTACGCACAACAGAACGAAACACTGCCTAGTCCTACGCCATCCTTATAATCGTTAAGCTTGAGCCCATTGCTGCTGCCACTGTGTCAATCCATCTTGTTGGAGGTCTTCATCTTTTGTGCTGACCCTCCACTTTGTTGTTGTTGTTGTTAAGTGCTGTAGAGTTGGTTTTGACCCACAGTGACCCTGTATAGGGTTTCCGAGGCTGTAAATCTTTATAGGAGCAGAAAGTGTCATCTGTCTCAGGCAGAACCGCTGGTAGTTTCCAATTGCTCACCTTGAGGTTAGCAGCCTGACTCGGATTTTACCCAAGGATGATATTCTTCTCCCGGTACTAGTCCCTCCTGATAATATGCCAAAATTATAAGAGATGACGCTTACTATATGGCCTCTGAGGAGCATTCTGGCTATGCTTTTTCCAAAATAGATTTGTTTAAAACCAGCTACCACAGTAGGATTGTGCAGCCAGAATGCTTGCTTCAGATCCTGTACTCCAACCTACTAACTCAGCAACTGGAGGCCTCACATCTGTAAACCCTGGAGGTTTTAGTACTAAAGCCAGTACTGTTACTTCATATTCCAGAATGCCCTGGTCCATTTACCCTCTACTGGAAGCTGAATTTATGAATGGATTCCTAGTGGTAAGAGGCTTGTTGTTGTTGTTGCTGTGTGCCGTGGGGTCAGTTCCAACTCATAGTACCCTGTAAAGGGTTTCTGAGGCTGTAAATCTTTACAGGAGCAGAAAGTCTCATCTTTCTCCTGTGGTGAGAGGCTTAGCTCTACCTTTATTGGAGACAAGCTGTGCACTTTTAATAGATTGTTGTTGATGTTAAGTGTTGTTGAGTCAGTTCTGACTCATAGCAACCAAGTATAGGATTTCCAAAGAATGGCTTGTGGATTTGAATCCCCGACCTTGCAGTTCACAGTTTATCCTACAGTGCCACACCAGGTTGTTGCCACCAGTCAATTAAAAAAGGAAGTACATGCCTCAAACCTTGAGCCTAATGGTTCAGCATTGGACAATGATAGAGCACAGACAGCTAATCTGTCCACTAATGGACCTAGGAGTCCTGGTGTGGTGCTGCAGGTTAATGCACTGGATGGCAAGGTCGGTTTGAACCTCAAGGTCAGCAGTTCAGACTCACCAGCTGTTCCTCGGAAACCCGATACAGGGACACTATGAGTCGGAACCAACTCAACGGCATTTAGCAACAACAATGGACCTAGGCACTATGGCAAGCTTTGCAAATAGGCCTAGAGTCTATGTGCACATAATGGAAATAACTGATGGCTTGTTCTTTCTGGAGGGACTATTTATGAGCCTGATGTGATTTGGGTAGTGCTTTTGATGGGATCTCACCATTCCACCATTAATGCCTGTATTAAATAGCTGGTGATCCATGAGCACACCATTTGTTGAGGTAACAAATAGTAGAGTTCTGTTCCAGATATTGCAGACCAGTGGAATTTGAATCGGTGGCCCTTCCAATGGACAAAGGTAAGATTTGGAAAATGAATCCTAGTCTATCAATCTTTTCTTCCCAGGGTCCCCAGGGGTGAACTAGACATAGTACAGTTTAAAAATTCCAAGTACTAAGCCAGTTCTTGATGTCTCTTAATAGAGTTCTAGAAAAGTGGAGTTGGACAGATAAATTATGCAACAAGGTCCAAGTGGAGTGCCTCTTATGTTCTCAAATCTAAATATTGGGACTTTTCCATCCACTAGTTCATTGCACAGAATAAATCAGCATGCAGTACAATCACATAAAAGGGTAAATAATGAATGGAGAAGATGGTTTCAAAAAAATTTTTTTGAAAGCACGAGATGATTGCTTCTATGACAGAGATATACTTAAAACAACAGCAAAACAATGTCCAGTTTACAAGCACAACTAAGAGGGAATTGAGTTTGAAGTTGCTGGGTTAGAAAATGAAATTTGTTCTTATCTTTAGCTTTCTGAGCCAGAAAAAGATGATCAAATTATCCAACTACAGGTGACTTACGTTAAAACTTGACAGGAATACAGACTGTACCAGGGGTGTGGCTAGAAGATTGCTAAATATTACAAGATGGGATTTCAGCTGGACAAAACCTCCTACAAAGCTTAAAGGCATAGTACTAGCTATGCCCAAAGTGTTAGTAATTAAATCCAGAGAAAGAAGAATGTCTTAAAAAGTATTGTGATTTTTTCGATATGTAAAAGACTGAAACAAGACCTTTACCTCACGCCATATGCGAAAAGCAACTCAGCATGGATTAAAGACTTAAATGTGAATCCCAGATATATAAAGATCATCAATGAAAAACTAGGAATAAATTTAAGGACTCTAATACAGGGCATACACTGACTACCAAACATTGTGAAAATTGTACAAAGAAAAGAAAACAAAATAGAAGATTCAAACATACTAAAAATTAGAAACTTATGTGCATCAAAACTTCACCAAAAGAGTTAAAAGGGAGGCCACAGAATGAGAAAAAAATCTTTTG